ACTAATATCAGGTCGTGCAGTGGTCAAGTACAAAAGTTTGCCAACAAGCCATTAGTATGCATAAGGGTTTTTATAAGGTTCACCTTGACTGCAATGAAGCTTGATTGAAGGATTTAAGAGGTAGCGGCCAGCTTGGTTTCTAAGAGTTCAGAGTCTGCTAATAATTCAAGAGTGTACTTCCTCTGATTAAGAACCAAACCTTGTTTTGAGTGTGCAACTTCTAATCCCAAGAAAAATCGAAGAGGACCAAGATCCTTAATTCGGAATTGACTGAAGAGTGATCTTGACATGCTAAATTTCAATTGCATAATCACTAGCTAAAACTACATCATCAACATAAACGAGTAGTGTTGTAAGAGAATGAGGATTTTGATGAACAAATAGGGAATGATCTGCAACAAATTGAATATACCCTAGAGATTGAATGAGTTTCGCATTCCATTGGCGGCTTACTTGTTTTAAGAGTAAATACATTTTTTGGTCCCTTACAAAAAAGTCAGTCCCTACTTTAGTCTCTTACAAAAAAACATTAGTCGTCTTGTCCTTATGAAATTCAAAGTAGACCCATTTTAATCCTTTTAAGGGACTAATATGGGTCTTTTTTGAATTTGTGAAGGACCACGATTTCAACTAAATGGGTCCACTTTGAATTTCTTATGGACCTCGGGACTATTTTTTTGTAAGAGATTAAAGTGGGAACCTTGTTTTTTGTTAAGGACTTAAAGGGGTATTTACTCCTTGTTTTAATCTATACAAGGATTTTTAAAGCTCGCAAACTGCATTAGGAATCAAACAAAAGGTAGTGGCATACCAAGAGGCAGTGACATGAACACCTCTTCATGTAGCTCACCGTGAAAGAAGGGTTCCTCTACATCTAGTTATTCTAGGTGCTAGTTCTTGGCTACTACAATGGCAAGCAAGGTGTGCACAGTTGTCATCATTGCAACGGGAGAAAATGTCTGAAAATAATCAACTCCTTCACATTGAGTATAACCTTTAGCAACTGAGGCGTGTTTTGTGTCAATCTACAGACTCATCTGGTTTCCTTTTTATTTTATATACCCACTTGTAGCCTATGTATTTCTTGTTAGATGGAAGTTCGACCAAAGATCGAGTGTTATTCAATTCAAGAGCCTTGAGTTCAGCATTCATGGCTTCTTGCCAATGAGGAAAAGAAGTAGCTTACTTGTAAGTAGTAAGCTCAGTTTCGGTTAGAGGTGGCAAAATAGGCCTAGTTGGGCGGGCTCGCCCGCCTTGCCCGCCAAACTAGGCGGGTTGAGTTTTTCAAACCCATCGCCCGAGCTGAAATTTTTATTTAATGTATTTTTTTAGTGTAAAATGTCATCGGCCCAGCAGGCTGAGTTTTCTAACCCACCTTCAAATGCGGGACGGGGCGAGCCAGCGTATTTTTTTGGCGGGATGGGGCGTACCACCTGCTTTGCCACCTCTTAGTTTTGGTAATAAGGTTATTACAAATATTGGTGTAGAAGTGAGAGCATTTTGAATAAGAAAGTACATTCGACAAAAGATAAGATGAATCAGAAATCATACCTGAGGATGTATTCACGTCTGTTACGCTCAATAAGTCACAGTGGAAGTATGTCAGATACTGAGGTCGTGTCTTTACTCTTGAGGAATGTCAAAAAGTAGAGTCATTGCTGCTAAGGTTGGTAGGTATTGAATCAAGTTAATCATTGGTTGTGGAAATATATAAGACATTGGGTGAAGGTGGAAGAGGAAGGTGTGTGAAATTAATATCATAATCTGTGTTAGAAGGTTGAATATGAAATGGTGCTGGACTGGAGTTGATATATGTTTTTGACTTAAGGAATGGAGAATGAGACTCATAAAAGATAACATTTTGAGTGAATATCAAGGACAAAATAGCCTTTAGTACCTTGTTTATAACAAAGGAAGACACATTTTCTAGCATGAGAATCAAACTTGGATTGATTATGAGAGAGCGTTCATGTGAAACACAGACCCGAAAACTTTTAGATGAACAAATAAAGGTGGTGTGCCCAAAGCAGATCATTATTTTTTAGGACAAGTGTGATGAGACGATTTATAATGTAGGCTACATGGATTACACAGTACCACCAATAGGTTTTTGGAATATTGGACTGGAAAAATAACGCACCAGTAGTATTCAATAAATGTTGATATTTTGGCTCCACAACACCATTTTGTTGTTGACATCGGAAACATAAAGTTTGATAGAGTGTGCCTTTGGAACTATAGAACTCTATCAAAGTAAACTCGGGTCCATTATCTGTGTGAATCACCTTAACGATAGTATGAACTAGAGTTTCAACAAAAGAAACAAAATTATGTAAATGTGACCGAGTCTCAGCTTTTGTTTTCATTGGTATTACCCAAGTAAAATGTGAATGATCATCTACTAAAGTTAGAAAATATTGATGACCATGAATTGAAGTTATTGCATGAAGGCCCCTTATATTAGCATGCAAGAGATCAAAATGACTTAAAGATTCTGAAACATTAGAAGAAAAAGACAATCATTTCTGTTTTGAGTAATGACAAACATCACAAACATCAACTTGAGGATTACAAGTATTGAAGGGAAAAACTTTTGACATGCTATATAGTATTGATAAAGAACAATGACCAAGGCGTTTATGCCAAATTGCAGAATCCACTGTTATGTTGTTACAGCACTTATTTTGATTATCTCTGACAGATCTTCCATGTGGTGACATGAGTATGAACAGACTATTATGCTGATTAGGAAAACTAATCATCCTCCCAGTGGTATTCTGCACAATGGAACAAGTGAGTGACCGAAAGATAACATGACAATTTGAGTCACAAAGCAGCTTAGTTATGGATATAAGATTGACACAAAACTTTGAGACATAGATAATGTTTGACAAAATAAGAAAGTGAGACAAATGCACATTTCCAGAGTGAGTAGTAAACACCATAGTATCATCAGGTAACTTGATTGCAATGGGTCTGATTTGTTGAGGACATAGAAAGAGGTCAAAACAATGGGTTATATGGTCTGTGGCACCTGTATCTAGAATCCATTGGAAACAAGTTTTACCTAAGTTCGATGGCACATCATTAGTTTGAACCATATGGATGAGTGCACTACATCGTCTCTTGGACCTTGAATTAATTCCAACAGGCTTTGATATTGGTCTTTAGTGAAGTGAAAAGGCTCATCTAATTCATTCTTTCTTTCATCTTTATTTTTTTTACATTCAAAAGGATCATTAACATCGTGCGTAACCGAATTATCTTTTCTATTTACCTTGCTTTTATAACATGATGGGAAGCTATGCTTCTCAAAATGCATCTTGATTGTATGGTTTGTTCACCCATAATGCATACATATCTTTCCTGGATTTGATCGTCCTCTCCCATAATTCGAACGACCTCTTCCTCTATAAAAAGTTTGACCACAAAAGTGTGGTTGGTCATTTATATTCAAGAAGACCTTTGCATCTGTGCTTGCATTTACATTAATTTGTCTTTCTTGTTGGTTAACTAAGGAGAACACCCGATTAATATTTGGAAGTGGATTCATCAAAATTACTTGAGAATGGATGTGGGCAATCTGATCATTAAGTCCTCACAGAAAACGAATAAAATGATCATTTTCTCTACTTTCTCTTGCATGTGTCTGCATCATCACTTCACAAGCGCAATTCGAGTTGCATTTGCACTTTGGTAGCGGTTTCAATGTATCAAGCTCATCCCAGAAAGTCTTAAGCTTAGTAAACTATTGAGTCACCAAATCATCACCTTGATTCAATCTGTATATGTCTTCTTGAATATCAACAATGTGAAATACATCCATTTGAAAAAAACACTCACTAAGGTCCTTCCCTACATCAGAAGCAAGTTGCATCCATACAATCGAGTGAGCTATCGAGTTTGCAATTGAATGGTGCAACCATGACAACACCATGGTGTTACAACAATTCCATGCCAAGAATAAAGGATCAGATTCTTGTGATGGAGCTGAAATAATGCCATCTACGAGGCCAAGCTTGTTCTTCGAACACAACGCAATCTTCATCGATCTGACCCAGGTGTGATAGATTTTACCAAGAAACACTGGTGACACCAAAACTAGCGGGATTCTCGATCGGGTGCAAGAAGTATGGACTTGATTGATTAGTCTAAAAGTCCGATGATGAAGTAGAAGGAGGAGGAGAGTTTTGAACCACCCACCAACCCATTTTGCAAGATCAGAGTATTGTCTTGTGCGAAAACAAGAAAAGTGGCTGGAGGAAGAAGTTTTAGAAAACTGAATAATGCTTTCAATGAGATTCAATTGATACAAGCTAAGGTTTATATACAGACCAATACAGCATCTGCAGTCCTACTTTACACGAGTGAAAAGAAAGCGAAAAAGATGGAACTGAAAAACAGAAACGTAATTGAAAGGCAACTGACTATAACGCCCTAACGTAACCAACGTATAAAAGCATCTGATAACAAAATATATATGGTAATATTGTTTTTCCAAATACTATATTAGGCCTGCCTAGAGCTCACCCTTCCGAAGTATCCCATTAACAAATTATATCATTTGATATATATGTATATTGTTATGAGCCCAATAGCAGTTATAAATTGCCTGCCGCTATACTCGATCCAGAATATTTCTGACTAATAGTGTAAGAAAGCCCAATATATTATGATCGATTTATAAGTAAGGCAGGTATATTAAACACTTTTAGGCGATCACCCCATACCAGTACCCTAAGAATGACTTGGAGAATTTCATACAAAGTTATTAAATTTTATTAAACAATGAGGCAGTCATCCAAAATTCAAACAACAATGATGCTAACCATGAACACCTGTTTGTGATAAGATAGACAGTTCTACGGCACCTAGTTAACGACCTAACTTGAATAACAATTACTTGTTTGGTAGCTAGGGGATAATTCATATGGAATTTAAACAAAATACAAGATCTTGCACATGTATACATTAGAATCGGTCTCAAGGTAATTCGATGATCAGTCTACAAGAACATTACAAGGTCGTCTCTCGATCTTCCTCTTCTTTTTTTCATGTTCAGGGATCTGCAAAAATTGAAATAAGATTGAATGGTAAATTTCAGATTCAAAATAAAATCTTCATGTGTAACAATGCAAAACATAGCACGAGTTAAGAAAATTGTGCCAGTTATAAATCCAAATTTTTGTTTGGGGGTTGAAAAGAAAACCGGTTCACTTAAGAAACTTGCGATCCTTTTGAACAGTTGATGCACAAACTTACTGTATGTGCCTGATATGGAGATACCTTCCTAGTTCCTAGTAATATGCTTTCAACTTTTCCAACCCCCAATAAAATAAAATAATAATTAACAAATAAAGTAGAGGTATACTAATACATGCTCCATGTTATATCTTTTAGCTTTACCTCGCCACTGAGTAAATAAGGAACCCGAACCCTTTTGGAGCCATCAGGTAGACGTTTAGTAGGTGAATGGTTTTCCATAGCAGTAAAAGCATTGCAGACCTGAGTTCAAATCGTAAAGTATATTTTATATTAGAAACGGGGTGCATGGACAAATGAATTAGGTCAGAGTAAATATGCTCATTCATGAACTGCAAATTTGTTAACGGTATCTGGTTCTTCACATCCAAAAGCAAATTATGAAGCTAACATATCAAGAGCACAATAGTTTTTTAGTTATTGAAGAAAATATCTGAAGAACCGCTTTCTTACCTGACTTTGGATAGCCTCAATTAACATAGCCTGACAACCTGATGCATGCACATTTTCTAAAGTGGGGCACTGAAGCAATAGTCTCTCTGAAGCAATCAATTTAATGAAAATAATCAACCTTACTATTTTAAAGGAAATCCAGATAAGTTGCATCATATTTCAGCTGAATATTAATAAAGAACAGGGACACCAAAGACTACCTGGATGCAAATTTCTACAAGAATTTAGATTCAGATCATTGAGTTGTGGGCAGTTCAAGTATAGGGCCTGCAAATTAATTGACAAATTAATTGATAAAAAGCAATATAAAGATTAATAGAAGCCTTAGAAAGAATCTGCAACAAAACGTCTTTAGACTAACGAAACTCACATCCAAGCCACTGCAACCCCACAAACTGAGTTTCTTTAAATGGCTATGTTTGATGATTAGCTTTTGGTTCGTAAGTTGTAGATTAGCGCCGGAGGTTTTCTGTAATTTGCAGTTGTTTTCGCCAGATGTTGGATTTTGGATATTCGGATCACATATGGTCATGCCACAATCCATAAGTTCAAGATGCGGCAACTGAGCTGTAGCAAATTGAATGCCACCTAAAATATGTGACAGCAGATTAGTAGGCAGAAACTTAAGAAAATATGTAAGTTTCGTGAAGTGATTGGGTATGTAAAAGGCTTTTGATTACTTGAAGTCACGTTAGGGCAAAGAGCAAGAAGGAGTCTGGACAGCGTTTCCGGGAACACATTGCAAATCATTCCGATGCCACTGTCACTTATTCCAGATCTGTGATAAAAAAGTTATCCATTAAACATAATTTCTAAAAGAGATAGACAAGGAAATTAAGAATAAAATGCATAATTGAAATATAAATTTTTATATTGAATTTTCCATTTGTTCCAGATCCAGGTACTGGCCCGTAACCAACACGGAACCTACGATCTCACGTCGTTCAAATCATCCACCTATGAAGATCCCGAACAATCGGGAAGAGGATTTCAAGCCAAATTCTACCACCCCATGGCTCCCCATAAATACCAAGATCATCCATCAGGTGCATACCTTTAGATCAAACCTTTCATCCTCTTGAATCCAACACCATTATATTAGTGTACAGTATTGGGTTGCATCAGATTTTTCTTTTCTCTCCAAGGTAAATACATTTGCAAAACTTCAATAGAAGATTTAATCGCAATTAGAATGAGTACGATACATACCCACTGAGATCAATCAATTCTAGATTTGGATAGCTTGAGGCTATTGCAGCAACAGATGCATCAGAAATTTCAGATCCAAGAACAAGAGAAAGCATTCGCAGCCACCTGATTAGTTTTATATTTAAACAAAACTTCATTAAGCACATCAATCAAGTGGATTTCGTAGTAATTGTTAACTCATTATAAAAAAATAAAGAAAACAAATAAGAATGATATTTTCAGTGATTATTTATAGGCATCACTGTGATATAATCTGTCCATCAGCTATAGGATTGGGATTTCACATATTCATATTAACGTTGGGAATATTCATGTGTGTGTACACATATTATGCATCGTGATTATGTTACTTGGTTTCATTTCAGCGCCATGTTTGGCTTGCAGTATAAAATTGGACATGATAGGATTAGCTCTCCTATTCTTATAAAACATTTGGTGCATTCGCCAGATAGTATGAGCTGATACGGATATAAAGTTCAAAGCGTTGTAGATTACAAACTCTTATTTCAAGGGAAGGAATTTCAACATGAATGGTTTTGTCAATAACAACCGGAAAATGGAGACCAAGATGCCAAAAAAATGACAGACCTCAACTGAGCAGCTGTGAGAGCAAGGACAGCAGCATGAGAAAGCCGCGTTGAAGCTATATGTATGTTCTGCAATCTTGAGCAACTTCTTCCCAAACCTTCAATCATAGTTGAGAGATCAGTACCATCATTTTCTTGGCAAGAAAACTCCAAGGAGATCTCTATCAACTGGGGGCAGTTAAATACCTACCATTTCAAAGAATATTTTAGTAACTATAGTTCACACTGAATGCAAGCTCAAAGGGCATTATCAATTTAAATATTGATCGCGCCATGTGAGATTAAAGGAGAAAGTAAAGGTAATAATCACCATCTTAGAAAGAGAATGTAAATCTGACAGCCAAAGTGTAGAAAGGCTAGATGAACAGAGGACAAAACCCCCCAGATTAGAACAACCTTCCATCTTGAGGCTTTTGAGGCTTCTTTTATCAGCAACAAATCGCCCTAATTCGTCCCTGCATTTTCATAGTTGAATAACAGATAAAGATAATCAGCAAAAAGCAGCATTCTTTGGTTAAGCTTGCATATGTTAATGTTAGCTTCTGCTGCATATGAAGGGCTCAAGCAAGCAGAATTCCAGAATGATGAGAGTGTAAGTGATTGAACAGAAATCAAAATGCACAGAATACTTTCACCTTATGTACATGAAATTAGTAGCACAACTACTAACAGAACAGCTATATTTATTAATTTCAAAAAGATGGAGAAAAAAAACTAGATTCTGAAGTATAAAGCTGCAATGGGAAAATACCAAAGTTACACCCCTGCTCATTAAAGCCGAGTTACAATGTATACAACATCGCAATATGCCCTCGGGATTTCATCCACATACAATGTGACAGAGTAAAAAATAACCCACACTCACCCCGTAGAACAATGTCAAACACAGAACTAGAATTTTGGATTCGTGCTATGAATCATTCATTTCCTGCGTTTGTGGCTTTTTTTGTAGGTAGAATGTGTTTGTGGCTTTAAATAATGAATTTCCAGGTCTGAATTTTGGAATAGTATTATACATCATTTAGTCACTGTGTTAGTGGCTTTAAATAATGAATTTCCAGGTCTACCACAATGAACCAAGATGGCATGACCTCATGACGTTCAAATTGTACAAAATCACACCGTACGCGAATTGCGGACTTAGATGCTTAAGAACGGAATACTCATTTTCCATTGAACCGAACAAAATAAGGGTTCAAAAATAACAAAGATAAGAACACGAGTAATACCCATTAATACGATTGGTTGCAGTATTAAATGTCGAGATCTCCATACACTCCAAATTAGGGCATGAGAACGCAATGCAAGCCAGCATCGTTGAATCGAAATCACTGCAACACCAAACGAGTTAGATTTACAATAAAAATATAAGTACAAAGCTTTAAAAAACAAGAGAGCAAACAAAACCAACACTCTCTGTTTCAAAATCCTTTTTGCTTCTGCATTTACACTAGGCTGGTTTCTTGCCATCATTTTTGAAAGCATCAAAAACTTGTTAGAATAAATTGTGATTCAGATTGTAGCTATTTGTTCTTTCTGCATCAATCTTTGCGAATCAACCCGCATTTTGCTATCTACACTAGCATTGCATCTTTGTACAATATTTAAGAACAATTTTCCGATTTAAGAGTTTTGATGCTTTAGATTTCGTTGCTTAATCATTTTCGTTTAATCAAAAAATAAATTCAGATCTAGAAGCTTCCAGCGAATCAGACGAATTCGCACACACCTTTCCATTCTAAGAGACAGCTTCATAATCCCGGGGCACTTCTGCAACATCGACGCGACAAACCCGACTTGAACGCTTGCCGGAACCCTAAGTTTAAGCTCCTCCGTCGCTCTCCACAGCCTTCTCACTGTTTCCCTCCAACCCTTGCTCACCTTCGCCGCCGCCAACAGGCTCGCCGGCGGCAGTCTCCTCAGCACTTCCCACAGAAGGATCGCCGGCAACCCGCACGAATCAATATCCAGATCCAGATCCAGATCCAGATCTGGCTCAGCCAACGAATCTCCATCCGCCCCGTCGTCGGGATCGAGCCCGCCAGCAAGATCGTCGAACGACAGAGCGCGGCGGAGGTGCGACGGCTGCTGACGGAGTGCGGGTGTAGCGGAGCAGGGGGCAGCAGAGATGACAGATAGAGACGAATCGGTTGGGGTGTCGACGACGTTGAGGGTGGGAGTTTTGACGATGCAGTTATGGCCCTTCTTGGGGAGGCCGCAACGGCCGCAGCTGTAACTTCCACGCTTCTTGCCACGCTTAATTACAGAGAGTGCGGAAGAAGCGGCATCGCCACCGGAAGTAGGTGGCGCCGCGGCAGCGATATGGGAGTGTCGCATGGCGTTCGTTCACGGTGGAATCGGAGGAAAGTGTTAGAGTTTATAAGCAGCGCGGGAGAGTTCGCGCGCTTTTTTATTGTTTTTCATTTTCATTTTTTCATTTTTTTTAATTTCCGTGCCGATTTTATATATACCCATGTCTGTGCCTGGACAGTGAGAAGAATCATTTCAGATTTTGATAATAAATAATAATTATAACGTGATCTTTTTTAATTGTACAGTATTTATTAATGTTTAATTCGATAATCTTTTATGACCATATTTGTAATTAAAATATTTGTTTTTTAGGATTGTTTGTTTTTCTTTCTAGTACTTAAATGCTATTTCATTAATAATTTAAAAACTTCCTCCCTCTTTTTTTTTCTTTTTTTGGAGTGAATATACGTCGTCTTCTTTCATATCAAATTATTTATAAAAAAAATAAAATATATGCTGTTTATACTTTATACTGTAGGAAAATTTTTAAAAATTTGATGTTCTGCCGCGCAAAGTATTACCTAAGAAATCAGAAAATGAAAAAATAAATAAACAATAAAAGAGAAAAGAATTTCGTCAACGTCATTGACGGAGGTTCAAGTGCTTGTGCTTCTTTAGCTCTTTTTATTTAGAATAGTGTAATTTTTTTTCAAAATTATTCACATGTGTAATTTTTAAATTTATTTTTATATATTAAATAAAGGTATATTCTCTTGAGAATAATTTAAAAATTAATCTATACTTTTAAAAAAACACATATTATTTTTAACTTTTTCATTTAAATTGATTTTTTTATTACTTTATATATATATGTGTGTGTATATACATACCTTTTTTAAATTTTAAACAATCTTCTCGTTTAGTTTATACTTTAAAATCAATTATTATTATATATGTTTTTCAAATAATTTAAAAAAATTCAATTTATAATTTACAAATATTTAAAAATATTTGCACAATACACAAATATTTACTAGTTAATTATCACAGTAGCCTAATTTTATGAAAATCTTAATTCACAATCAGGATTTTTTTATAAAATATTTTTCAAGAATCACAAAATACTCGCTGTAGTTTTTTTTTCTTACATTTATTTTTTAGTCATATTGTTTTGTCTACAATTAGCTAAAATTTATTTTTTTAAATTATACATAAGTTGTGAATGGGGTTCATGACATTTTTTTCAATTTAAATACAAGTCATTCATGGTATTCTCAATTAGTTTTTTTTATTATTTGAACAGAAATCATTTTTGTCATCAACGAATCATTTTTGTTAAATATTAATAAAACTTTTGGATGAAGGATTGTTTTTAAGTTTTAATAAAATCGTGGCTCTATAAAAGAGTAGCTCCTATTATAATGAATTATGTTGTTGAGTTCAAAAATTATCAAAATATTTTGAAACAAAAAAATAATGCTTGTGCCAGTTCTAGCTCTTATAATGAAATTAGTAAGTTTTTATTTTTCTTCCGCTAAAACAATTATTTTCTCAAAAACAAAAAATCAATTTCATATTTCTTTTTTCGATTTTGATTGATTTTAAAGGAATTCGTATTTGGTTTGGGGTTCTCCCGTTTGATTTCGAAATTTTTAAAACGGCCATCTTTCTTTTGATTATTTTAATTTTAATGTATATTGCGTTTCTTGATATTTGATCATTTGAGATATGGTGATTTTTGTTGTTCCATTTAAACTCGCTTTTTTAATGGATTGACTCATATAGATTCCTAACTAATTATGCTAATATATATTTTTTGGTAATCAATTGTGCTAATATTTAGTGACTATGGGCTTCATTGTAACTTCCTTTATAGTTTATTATTACAGAAAATATTACATAATTTCTTAAAATATATTCTAATAATAATAATAAAAGAAAATATAAGTAATTAAATTTAGGATAATTAATGAATTAAAACTAATATCATTCATTTATATAAACATGGATGTGAATTCGTGCAGAAACTTATATATGTTGCATATTTTACAGCAAAGTCTACTTTATAACCTACATTACTATTTTACATCAATCTTACATCCTACGTCAGATTAAAGTATATGCTTCATTATATTTTACAGACTAAAGTATATGCATAAGTTTCCACCATGTCTACATAAAATACAGATACGCCTCCCTAATTTCTCATCACAATGTAGTATTCCCAACGATCATCAGAAAAATAAACATTAATATTTCATCCTTCTCCGTAAAAAGACAAGATAGGCATCTCGAAAGGTTAGCAAGACATAAATTGTGAGAAAAATCTCAATAATATTGAGATTTTCTAACTATAACCATTTTCAGCCGTAGTAACGGAGAATTCTCTCAATTAATTTTATAAAAATGAAATAGCATCAGAATAATAATAAATAATACATTGTATAATATTTAACTGAAGCTATTTAAATGCATAATTTTGTGGATTTCCTGCATGTTAAACATTCTGTATGGCGAAGCTCAAGCCATGATAAGGCGTCCCTTGCCTTTTAATTGTCTGACCCCAAAACTTTGTGGGTCAGTTTACAGCAGTATCATACAGTTAAAATTACATATTCTTTTAATATTTATTTAGTATCAAATAACTCATCAATCATTAATCAACTTTTTAAAAAATAAGATTTTACAACTAATTAATAATAAAGTTAAAGATAGGAATAAAATCAAGTAGTCAACGAATTATAAGAAAGGAACCTGACAGAGTAACTGTAACACCCCGTGTATACCCGGAATATTATCATTACATCGTATTAAGCTGCGCTTAATTAAAAATACGGAATATCTTTTTCTTATCATTTATGACGTCATTATACTTAGCCAAGTTGATTACTTAATCAATTTCATAAAATATCGTCTGTATGTAAATTGCAATAAGACATCTACTGAAATACCTCAATATATAATATAAAGTGAGTATCTAAGTCACGGATCTACAACTCGTAGTCCGGACAGTATCCTGATACATTAATACAACTCTAAATAAAACAAGACATAATTAAGTCTACGTGGCATGGACAATCCTCATGCTCACCAAATCAATAGTATAAACAACCAAGTCTCAACATAATAATCCAAAATCATAAAGAAGCTAAAAGCATAAAAGCAGCATGCATAACCAGCATCCAACAAGTCAGCATATAATAACAGCAATATCTAACTCAGCTCCGGCCTCCTGCCGCCTGAGGTCTCAACCCCGACATTACCTGAACCTGAAATAAGCATTCCCTAAACGTGGGGTGAGATCTCTAAACCAGAAATATCAGTAAGGCAAGGGGTCCTCAAGGATCTTCCACCCCAAGCTCACTTACACGTGCAATATAAGTTCTAAAAGCATTTATATCAATATAAGTTCCAAAACTATGCAGTGCAACATATATTCATGCCATGTGTGTTTATCACTATTCTACTGGTCAGAGAAATGCAGGAATACGTCTATACCTACATGTAGTACAAGGAACACCACTTGCACTTCACCCACAGCCTCACCATATTGTACGTACTACATACTCAGGCTTACCGTATAGGTGGAACACCACGTGCATATCATAAAGACACTAGCATATAACAACACTCAATAGCATTTCCAAAACATCAAAAGCATGTAACACAGCATGCATATAACCATACCCCTATGGGATATGGTGGAACCACAACATGGCTAAACTGAGGACACGAAAGCTTACCTCTAAGCTAGCTATCCAATGCCACAAGCTCAAAGTCCAAACACAGCAGTATCACAATCTGTTATGGACCAATAATATACCAATAAACATACTCTACCAGCATACAACTTAAAGACAACGCCTTTCTTTACGTTTTACGTCTTAAGGCTTCACACAAAGCCGCAAGCCCTTAATCACATGATTCTGACTTAGTTCATTAATTACAGAAGTCCAACTTCATCACTCTAAGGTCCACAAACCCCCAATAGCCAGTACACACAGCACAGCTACTGTTCTACGAAATCCCAGAATATTCGGATATTCCTCGGGGACATATCCGGATATCCAATATCCGGATATCTCACTGATAATATCTGGATATCAATATCCGGATATCCAGATCCCCATATCCGGATATCCATATCCGGATATTTCAAGGGCCAATATTCGGATATTTCGCGACAGAATGAAGTTTCTGCATTTTCGCGAAGATATCCTTCCAAGGTACCATTTTTACCGATTACAGAAGCCTAAACATGCATTTCTAGGTGTGTTTGACATTACCCATCGTTAGGTTAACATCTCAAGCCCATTACATGCATCAAGGTTCCATTTTTAGACACTTAAACTCAAGTTCAAGGTTGATGATCATACCACAAGTTCAAAACAGCAAGGGAGATGCTCTTGGAGCTCACTAGAAGCTCCCACAGCCCAGCACACCCAAGGACACGAAAATGGACCAACAAGTTTGGTTTTTTCTTCTCAAAGATGACACCTTGAAGCTCAAAGTACCAACTCCAAGCTCTCACAAACAAACTAACCAAATTCAGCCTCAAAACCTCACACGCAGCAGCTGGAATACCACTGAAGAACACCCTCGCTCACCCACAATGATGCCTCTCACTCACACCAAGTGTCTAGGATGATGAAACAACCAAGAAATGGGTTCAAGGTTGAGTTTTGATCAAGAAATAGAGAAAGAAGCAATGGAACAGTGCTCACACACAAACTGACCAGCCCCACTCACGTAGGAAAGAAAGGAGTCTAGGGTTTTGTGCCCATAATAAGAGTATATATAGGCCATATAAGCATTAACACACAGTATTAACTTTAATTGCTACGCTTAGCATTTTAATCTCAAACTTTGGATTCTTAACCTACTCAATTTTACAAGAATTTTCATATTTTTATTATATTTTTCGGAGCACCTTTCTGGTACGCGCTTTTCATAGCCAGTATCAGTTTCTGGTACCAGTTCTCATTATTTTGACTTGAAACTCGTTTTGCAAGTCCTATTTATTATTCTAGTAATTATCATGTACTTATTATAATTTTTTGGGATACTTTTTCGGTACGCATTTA